GAGAGAGAGAGAGAGAGAGAGAGAGAGAGAGAGAGAGAGAGAGAGAGAGAGAGAGAGAGAGAGAGAGTTTTGTAATCGTTTGTGGAGCAATGTGGACATGTGCTTTCTCTCAAGGTTTGTTTTTTGGTCTTGTCATCCGCGTACTCTTCTTCTTCTTCTTCTTATTCTTCCATATACACACCTGCAAAAGTCTCTGACATACCAGCAAGACATTCGAAATGCACCTGCGTTACCCCCTGTCAAATGCCCCCCCTCCTCCCCTGCCCCCCCCCCCCCCCCCCCCCCCCCCCCCCCCCCCCCCCCCCCCCCCCCCCCCCCCCCCCCCTAAGTTTACTTTTTTATCGCAGATTTGGGGTCCTCTGACATAGCGCAGCAAAACCTCGCCTTCGAAAAAAAAATAAAAAATTCCACGCTGGGTTTCTGGGCCACCTGGATTTCCCGGGCAGACCCCCCCGTTCCCACCTGCCCGGGGTCCACCCGGCCGGGCACGCCTGGCCGGGGGGTGGTCCAGCCTAGTTATTTTTGTCATTTTGAGAACTAGTCGTTATGGGCCCAGCTCCATATCCATTCTATTCCCCTGGCAGGCCAGGACTCAGAAGGCACAAAAAAAAGAAAACAGTCTTAGAGAAGACTAACACGACGACTTTTACGGCCAAGCCCTGGACGTAGCCGCGGTCAGGTACATCCTAATCAAGGTGGAATGCCGGTCAGATTCATCCAGGAAAGTCCTAGTATAAGTATGCCCTTATGCTTCCCGAAGTTACAACCCAGGGATCCTTGACCGCATGGATTGCTTCCTTCGGAAGGATTGACTCATTCCTTTCCTTTTTTTTTGCTTCTTTTTTTAGAAAAGAACATTGAGTCGGGGGGGCTCCAGCCCATGCTTAGGATCAGTTCCCCTCCCCCTACCAAGAATTACCCCTTTAAGAAACAGCCTCCAAATTCAAAATTTCAGTCCAAGTTGTCCCTCTCGGTCCATTGAAGTGGGCCGAATGTGGCGATTTTTATGACCAGGTTTGGCCTAGCTTACAATCCAGCATGTACATATTCTTCTGACGTCTGACTCTAGACCGGGTGTTCAGGACAGATCTGCAGGGTCCAAGAGAGCTGGTTGAAACGGCCCTCGCTCCTGTAGAAGAACGGTCCGATCCGGTCCGGGACTGCGCCTACATGGAACACGAATGTGACAAGAAGACAGGAGAATTCAAGGGCCAGGATCGACAAGACCGGAGGACCTCGTCAGAACATTGTGCCCTTCCTTTTAGAAGTCTTGATTTGCAGAGTTGATCTGGTTGATAAGGATACCTGGAATGAGGGGTTGGATAGAACTTAGAAGTAGAGTTACTGAGTTGTTCATAATTTTCTCAAAAAACATCAGTACAGTACTCGGATAGCAGTTTCTGATTCTTTTTTCTCAATCGAAGCTAGGTAACGGCTTCGATATATTCCATATCATCATCAAATGTTCACTATTGTAATCTCATTGTTATAAGGGACGCTGCATCCGGTTCCCAGCACGTGCTGCTCCCCACGAATATAGATCGGAGCTTAAAAAAAAAAAGAAAAAAAAAAAGAGCTCCGGTATGCTGTAGCTGAGAGGATTTCTAGAAGAAAGGCAATCTGGCAGTCAATCCTCCATGTTTCTGTTCTGATTTCTAGAAGAAAGGCAATCTGGCAGTCAATCCTCCATGTTTCTGTTCTGAATCCACACACCATCCTTTTTCTTTTTCCAGGTTTCGTTTTGACCGCTCGATGACTGTTTGAATGCCCGGGAGAAACCCATTTTTTTTCAGGGATTGCCTTTTTATTCCCCCCTCTTCCACTCCTCCCCCCCCTGCTGCCCCCCCCCCCCCCCCCCCCCCCCCCCCCCCCCCCCCCCCCTCCCCCCCTCTCCTGCTTTTCCCTCACCGATCCGGCGGGATTGTGAAGTGATATAAACTACTGTAAAGCACCCACTTGTGAAGTTTAAAGCTCAGGAGTTCTCAGAACTAGTTTGTTGCTGTCTTGCTCTTATGCAATGGCTTTTTTCAATGCTGTTCTGTGTGCACGCGCGCGTGCGTGCCCCCTTCCCCCTTTCCCCCCCCTCCCCTCCCCTCCCCTCCCCTCCCCTACCCTAAGAAAAAAAAACCGTTGCAATTTGGGAGTAATGATTGCTGGTAGCTTCCATGAGTTGGTACCTTGCATGCGAAAGTGGTTGCAAACTTGCCAGTGTGCTGTGCAGACATGACTGTTACGGAGCCAAGAGAGAGAGATAGACAGACCTAATTGGTTGATGTATTCATGCTAGTATTGGCTTACTATTTGTTGACACGTTATTGTATTGGTCGCATCAGGGAGGAGTGGAGGCGGGAGGTTGAACTCGGACTGGACGAGGTGAAAGGCGATGCAATGAGTGAGGATATGGATGAGTAAGTCGCACTTTCATTGTTTATTTATTGCAATTTTCTGGACTTCTCGTGTTAGATGATGGGGTCCACGGGCCAGGTAACCCTAGTCTCCATCCATTCATGTATGCTGATTAACGGATAATCATGCTAGGGGAGAGTGGATGGAAAGCAGGGAGTCGAAGAGGGTTGCAAAATTCTATGAAGAGAAATGGGGAAGGAGGTAGAGCATTGAGGCGATCGCAAGGCGATTCCCATTGTAGTTCGTCACGGTAGCAACGGCCAAAGCGTTGTGCTCTACCCTCCTTTCCTACCGTCTTCACCTGAATAGAACGCCCGGTCATTGTTGATGCATCTGGACTGAAAGTTGCACCAAATACGGCTATAATGACCGGGCGGCGTTCTATTCGGGTGAAGACGGTAGCAATCGCATTGAATGGAGGTGCACTGACCCAAGGTTGGAGAATAGCAATAACAAGGTTAGAGAGTAAGACTTCTGTTCCTTGCTATTGCTATTCTCCAACCTGAGGTCAATGTCATTTGCTCTCGCAGTGAAGTTCTGTGACTTCAATCATTACATGTATATGACTATGACCAACGGGCAGTAGCACAAAAGGTGGGCAAGAAGTCATCTGCACAAAAGGGGTGATGGGGAGAGGGAGTTGAATGTCAAGGAAATGAGCCAAACGTGCCGTTACATGCACGAGAGGGAGTGGTGGGGGTAGGGAGAGGGGGGCGGGGGAAGAAAAAGGGG